GGAGAGGGTTCAGAGGAGGGCCACCCACTTGGTGAGAGGGCAGCAGGACAGGCCCTACGAGGAGAGACTGAAGGACCTGAACCTGTTCAGCCTCAGCAAGAGAAGGCTGAGGGGGGACCTGGTGGCTGCCTACAAGCTCATCAGGGGAGATCAACAGCAAATAGGCAGAGCCCTTTTCTCCCCAGCACCACCTGGGGTGACAAGGAACAATGGTCATAAGCTGATGGAGAACAGGTTTAGGTTAGAGATCAGAATGCAATATTTTACAGTTAGGATGGCCAAAATCTGGAACCAACTTCCCGGGGAAGTGGTCCTCGCCCCTACCTTGGGCAAACTGAAGAGGAGGTTGGATGATCCCCTGTCGGGGGTCTTGTGCCCCCAGCATTCATTCCTGCCTGTGGCAGGGGGTCAGGCTAGATGATCTGTTCAGGTCCCTCCTGACCCTAGCTACTATAATACTATGATTGATGCCTACACAATCAGATGGATGGCAAATTGGCTACATGGTCGCATCCAGAGTGGTGGTGGATGGATTGTTTTTGACCTGGAGGGATGTGGGCAGTGGAGTCCCCCAGGTCTCAGTCCTGGGACCTGTACTGTTCAACATCTTTATTAGCCATGGGCCGCTTACTGAGTTTTAGCAAGTCATCGAGGGCCACATGACAGGAAGCCCAGGGCAGGCTCATATTAACTTGCTAAATTTTTTAGGGGCCCTGCAGGCTGGATAGAATGGCTTGGCAGGCCGCATTCAGCCCATGGACCGCATTTTGCCCACCCCGATCTAGGGAGAAGGAACCAGCAGCACACCTATAGGCTGGGGAACACTTTGTGTGTCAACACAGTGGCAGAAAGGGATCTTGGAGTCATTGTTGACTCCAGGATGAACATGAACCGCCAACACGAGCAAGTGGTCAGTAAGGCTAACCGCACCTTGTCGTGTGCAGATGCACCACAAGCAGGTCCAGGGAGGTGATCCTTCCCCTGTACACAGTGTTGGACTACTGTGTCTAGTTCTGGGTGCCACACTTCAAGAGTCATTGAGAGGGTCCAGAGGAGGGCCACTCGCATGGTCAAGGGGCAGCGGGTCAGGCCCTACAAAGAGAGGTTAAAGGGCCTGAACCTATTCAGCCTTCACAAGAGAAGGCTGAGGGGGGATCTGGTGGCTGTTTACAAACTCACCAGAGGGGACCAGCGGAAATTGGGTGAAGCTCTGTTCCCTCAGGCACCACCAGGGGTTACTAGGAATAACGGCCACAAATTGTTAGAGGGAAGGTTCAGGAGACATTACTTCACGGTTAGGGCTGCCAAGCTCTGGAATGGACTCCCAAGGAAGGTGGGGCTCTCTCCTACCTTGGGGGTCTTCAAGAGGAGGCAGGATAGATATTTGGCTGGGGTGTTAGGACCCCAGCACCCATTCCTGCCTGAGGCAGGGGGTTGGACCTGATGATCTGCTTAGGTCCCTTCCAACCCTAAACACTATTACTATCACTACATGCCCTAAACATCAGCCTCTTAACAAGTTTGGGGTTGTGGCACTCAGCTTGGGGACGACAGCCTGGATCCCAATTCCTGCTCTCAAGGTTATTTTCATTTTTATCCAAAGGCAGAATGAGCACACAGTCCTAGAAGCAGGAAATTCCAACTCGGGGTTCCTGTTCCAGCTTAGTGCCCTATTCACTTGGCTGCAGGTCAGGTTTCCTCTTGCTTGTTCTCTCCCTGGCTTCATGACTTGCATTCTTTT